AGAGCAAAGAGTTCGCCCCTGACCTGTCTCCTCTCAAGGTTAAACAAATCCAATTCTCTCAGCCATTTCTCATGCAACATATTTTCCAGACCTTTTATGAGCCTTGTTTCCCTTGGCTGGACTTGCTTCAGCACCTCAATGTGCTTATTGAAGTGAGGGGCCCAAAACTGAACACAGTACTTGAGGTGTGACCTCACCAATGCTGAGTACAGGGGGATGATCACTTCCCTAGTCCTGCTGGCCACACTATTCTTGACACAGGCCAAGATGCCATTGGCTTTCTTGATCACCTGTGCACACTGTTGGCTCATATTGAGCCACTGTCCACCAGCACTCCCAGGTCCCTTTCTGATGAGCAACTCTTGAGCCACTCCTCCCCCAGCCTGTAGCACTGCATGGGGTTGTTGTGTCCCAAGTGCAGGACCTGGCACTTCACCTTATTGAACCTCATGCAGTTGTCCTCAGCCCACTGATCAAATCAGTCCAGGTCTCTCTGTAGAGCTTTCCTACCCTCAGACAGATCAACACTCCCACCCAACTTAGTGTCATCTGCAGATTTACTGAGGGTGCACTTAATCCCCATGTCCAGATCATCAATAAAGATGTTAAACAGGACTGGCCCCAATACTGAGCCCTGGGGAACACCACTAATGATCAGTCACCAATTGGATTTAGCTCCATTAACCACTACTCTCTGGGCCTGGCCATCCAGCCAGTGTTTTACCCATTGAAGAGTCCAAGCCACAAGCAGCCAGTTTTTCTACAAGTATGCTGCTTTCTAGAACTAGAGTGACAATTGGCTAGATCTCCTATTTACTGCAACTTTGGTAAATACATTTCTCTGTGTACTGCAATCTGTTCCCATATGATGCTACAGGATGAAAGAATCTGACTTAACTGTCCCTGTCTTTTCAAATTAATTATAATAATTCCTCATTTAATCTAATCTTGTCTGGTTTTGGTACAAGAACAAAAACATTAAATATTTTTCTAATGTGAGTGTTTTAATTGCTACAGTTTTAGTTAAAGAAAATTAAATGTTTGGAACTCTTTCTCTGAGCTGTAATCTCACAACTGCTTGGACACATACACTGGTCTGTTCTGCCCTTTGAAACAGCTGCACAGTTTATTCAGTAGCATTGAATAGAGATTATGATTTAGTTCTCTGAGCATGGCCTTCCAAAGCAATTCTACTGAAGTTCTTTCCTATCAGAAAAAGTTCCCTCATCCTAGCAACTTCCTGGTGTCTGTGGTAACTCCATTTTATGTAATGTTGCTTGACCAAGTCTAAAGTTCACTGACTTGTCTTTAACATCCAACTAAATTAATATTTTAAATCTCTGCTGAAGATTGCCTTTTGTTCCTTTGGGTAGCATGTTGGTTTTGAATGTCAAGGAGACAAAAAGAAATCTGAGTTTTGATAGGTGTTTGTGGTTTCACTGATAAATTTGCTTAGTTACAATAAAAAATGTAAGATATAAAGAACTGAGGAAGAAGAATAAAGATATATTTCAACTTTGCAACAATTTCATGTGTTATTTTGTTTATTTACGAGGACTGAGCATAGAATCCATTAACAGGAGTTCCATGCAAGACTGCAAAGGTTTTTTCCAGCCAGGAATTTTACTTTATGATACTGAAGTGTGAGAAATCATGTAAGGCGTATCGTGAAACCTTTCATCTTACAAAAGAGAAAACAAACTCAAGCAACACCTGCCAACAAAAATAAGCCAACAAAAAATCCACTGACCACACTGCTGCCCAGGCTGGCAGAGCAGTCTCAACTGCATTTCTGGCATCTACCACAGCTTTCTTACCTTCACTGCAAACTCTGTTTCTGTAGCTTTATGAACACATCTCTTGCACACTGAATAGGAGCCAATTCCTATGTCCTCCTTGATCTCGTATCCATCTGTAAAGTGGATGTTGTTCCCATGTAACTGCTAGAGGGAAATACAAAAGAAACAAGGTAATCAGGACACGAGTACATAACAGCAAGGACTAGCCTCTGCTTAATAAAGGAGGTGCTTGATCACATCTTCTTCAAAGAGCCCTCTTGTCCTAGCAGTTTTTCTAGGTCCAATTAAAAAATTTGGAAGCTCTTTACTTAAACAAGCATGTCTCCTCCTTTTTACCTTTTGCCAGTCTGTAAGATAGAGTTGTCCATGTAGAAGTAATGGCAAAACACCAGTGATTTTCTAAACTATTTTTTGAATGCAGAAAATCACCACCTATTAGAAATTCATAGGAAACTGTGGGCCCAAATCTACTGATAAACCCACATATCTTGACAATATAAGCTTATTTCTAAATACTAGAGGGGCAGATAACTTATAAAATACTAATAGCTTCACAGTTTTCGAAAGACATACCCCACATATGAGGTGTGCCTACAGACTACTAGAGGTCTTGTCCAGAATATGTGTAACTACAGTTGCTGTGTGAGAAAGAAGTTACTATTTTAAGCCATTAATTCATATGCCTTTTGGAAAATGTCTGGGCAGGTAGACTGGTTAAATGGTGAAACCCGAATCTAAGGCTTTGCTGCAAATTCCATGCCAGGAGTCAAGAAATGACCAGCAGCTCTAAACATCCTCTAGAATCCTCTGTCTAAAAGTGTAACATTGATAGCAAAATCCACACAGAACCTGCTAAATTATAAAACATGCACATGTTAATATTCCATACATTTTTACAAAGCAAATCACAGGATGTAATTCGGAGTGTAATTGCTTGGGTAACAGTTCACTTACTGCTGCATGAGAGCATCTTTAAGAATATGGCATATTCCACTGTAAATTATTAAAACAGGGATGAAAACCTTTGAAAACCACAGGCAGGAGCTCTCCCCTTGAGGCATGTATACTTCTGGCTGTGGGTAGGAGAGGAACTTTCTCCTAGTGGGAAAATTTGCTGCATCTTTGAGCAGCCCAGTTCTTTCTCCCTATTCACTTTTCCTCTGATGTATTGAGCATTTTATAGCAATTTATTTCTGGTTTAAATTACAACTGGATGGCATGTTGTAGGGGAATGGCAGCAAAGAATCAAGTGTCCGGCAAGTGCCTTTCCCCTGCCAAGCTGCCCTGGTTTAGGTGAGTACACCCAGGCTTCTGTGCAAGAGCAACAGGAGTACAGTGACCTCCTACACTCCAGAGCTTGGGCTCTGTGTCTGTGGGAGTCTATAGCAGCAGCTCATTAAACCCTTTGCCAACACAGGCTGTATCATATAATCCAATAAAAAACTGTTGAGAATGACATGCATTCAGTGAAAAAAACTTCATTACCTGCCCTGCATGCACAACTGGAATCATGTTTCAGGTATTCAGAAGTACTTTTCATTTCACCTGTGGCAAAGTGTGATTCCTATTTCCTTTGCAAAGGCTGTGGGGAATGTGAACTTTTAGATAAAAGCCTTTGGGAAAAAAAATAAGTCTCACTCTTCACCCCCTACATGCTGCATATAAACACCTCCTACCTACACTAGGTAGCTGTGAAATACCAGTGAGAAGGCTGAGGCAGTTTAAATACACTATGCAGATATGTATCTGCCCATCAGATATGAAGGGCAATGTCAGCATCAGTACCTGCACAATTGGGTGAACAGTGATTTTGTGCACATCTTGCTGTGCAGGCTCCTGCACCAAGTTAGAGGCAACAAAGCTGAACCCTCTGAAAAGATGATGAGCATTGGCACTTGGAGGAACACCTGGGGAATCTGTAGGAGAAGGAAGAAAATGGCCTCATGAACTGCACAGAAGAAGAGAAAAGAATAGCATGGCACCCACAACAGACAAAGTCACTCCTGTCCATCAACAGCAGATCCTGATAAACTTGCAGACACATGAATATAATTCATCTCCATATCAAGACTTTGGTGTGCCTTCTCCATTCCTTTCCTCTGGATTTGAACAACGCAGAGGTGTTGTTTGCATGGATCTCTTCTCCTGGATACAGAGGGGTTTTTCACAGTTGCACTGTTCAACCTTAGGCAAAGCACTGCCTGTGCCAGGAATCCACACGGAGAGAGAGAAGGCACAAGGCAGTGAGGCTCGGAGAGAGACACAAGACCCTTTGGCTTAGCAGAGATTCTCCAGGGAGTGGAAGAAAGATGCAGGCTGCTCTCTCTGTCCTTTGCAGCACAGCTTGATTACAGAAATTACAAAGGCTAAAGTGGCATGTTGTGTGGGTCATAAAAATGTAGAGAAGACACGAATCAAGTGTAAGAGCACAATACTTCAGTAGTGGTGGTTTGTGGCCTTATAGGGATCTTCTGGAGCAGCTTTAGGAGCTGGGACCTACTGGTTGACTTGTCCTCAGGTGAACAAAACAACTAGGAGTATTTTAACTAACCTTCATGGAGATTTTCTCCCCCATTCCTTCCCCTGACATGGCAAACCCAGGGAAGAATGGATGGAGTTCAAAAGTCCTGAGTTATTGTACCTTTGGAATGAAATAACCAGAGAGCAGTTCCTAGTACCTGCATCTCACTGTTCAGTGAGAGAAACAGCATGACAAAGCAAGCAGAGAAATTCTGTGCTTCACTTAAAATTCTGAAAAGCTTTAAAGATATCTTTCTCCCTAGTGTATACTTTATGCCAGGCATTTTCATAAGCAGGAAAAGTCACTTTGCAAACCATTCCTTGGTAACTGTCTGGGTATTACAAAATCTATAGTACTAAAATTTGCTCATCTTTTTTTAATTGTTTTATTTGAGGGAGTTGTTTGAGGGTTTGGGGTGTTTTTTCTCCTCTTCCCTCCACATTTCCTCCAGTGCAACATGTGCTTTACCATGGCAAAGTTCCTTTAGAAAGCTATCTCTTTGTAGTAAGTGTGTAAATACCCAATTATGTAAAGGACATACATCCCCACTGGATTTATATCTGAGCACCTGCCTACACCATCAGCACCACCTACTCGTGCATAGGTCAACAGTATGGAAGACTGAGTATTGCTTGAGGCCCAGAAAATATATGAGAATGTGTATTTCTTAGTGTGCACACTCCCTGTATAAATCTACTGGTCAGGTGAACAGAGGATCTGAAGCCAGAATTTGATAAAACCAAAATATCTGCTTGGAAATAAACAAAACTGAGACAGCAGCTAGTTCTATTTCTCATTACAAAGCCGCCTCAGCTTTGGCAGGAGTCAGAAATAAGCACAGCAAGTCAGAGTTCAGATTGAGAAGATTGTCTTTTGGTAAAATGATGTGGGCTATTTGTTTATCTCAGTGTTTTGATGGGCACTCTCCTTGCAAATACATGGATGAATCACACCAGGCCTCTTGCGTCACTGGACGTTTCCTACAATGGCATATATATAACAGTGACTTTTCCAAGAGGGATTAATTAAGAGGAAAGAATGTTTATTTTAAAATAAGAACAACAATAATACAAATTTGAATACTCCTTAACTTCAGAAAAGCTGTGATCCAGCTCTAAAAGTTAAGTGGTAGGTCATTTCTATTTAAAAATAACTGTTCCTTCATAATTCACTGTCAATTGCTTGACCAAACACTGTAGAAGAATTACTGATTATTTGGTGTTCACTATTACAATATTAATCACCAACAGCTCATATGCCCATCTTATAAATTAAATATTCAAACAGTTTTGATAAGTACAAAATTATGTTAAAATCATGCTAATTAACTGACAGCTCAGAAACCTAAATAATTTTCCTAGCCTTTATAAATCCAGAATCATTTTTGGAATTAGATCCACTTGCAAACACCAATCTTGTATAATGGTTATCTTTCTCCCTGTGAAAGTCATAATGCTCTGTTCCATCAGAGCATCTAAGTTTAAGGGTTTTCAAAGGCTTCATAAATCTTAAGTAACAATCTTTATTGTGCTTCACTGGGGTTAGCAAACATTATTATCTTATTTACAGAGGCCAATATTTAGATACTTCAGGTGCAATTTTGCATACTTCTTTCTGGGCAGTAGAGCCAGTCTAAAACATCCCTGGTGGTTACAGAGTGCTGCCCCATCAATTACAACAGTACAAACACTTGTGGACTGAAATCTAAGTTGGATCACCAGAATGATCTTGGTTTGATCCTTGTTCAAATCACCATTTCACCTGGATTGCTTCAGTCTCCTGCTCCCTGTGAGGAGCTGAGTCACCACAAATGAGATGTGGATCCACAGTGGTGAAATCAGGAAACAAGTAGCCAGAACAAGCAACTCCAACTTGGACAAATCTCTGAGGAAAAGTGATTTGAAACTATACTCATAGAGATGAACTGTCAGTGTCAGAAAGCACAACTTTGGTGAACTTAGATCCATGGTTAGGAGTCCACAGAAAGCTGTTTCAACTTCCAGGCTAAAGAAACTTTCTGAGGGACAGCAAATCATTGGACTGGCAAGTTACTGGATCCAAAACTTTGACATAAACTTGTTTTCAGGCAAGAGAACTCATTCATAAAGACAGAATGCAAAATGACTATATGTTTCTGTACTCCCTCCTTGGTAGCTTCTTTCTGACAGCTGCATTAAAACACAACTGCGTGATCATGAAGCAGGAATTATTACAGTGCTTTCTGTCTGTGTGTGTTCTCAGTAACAAGGTTTGTTTGTTTGAGGTCTATGTCATGACAGAAAAACCATAAACCATAAAACGTATTAAACACTTTTGTGATGCTCTCCCCTTCTGGTTGACCCAACCAGTCAACAGTCAGCAGCTAGGAAATATGCTGCCAGTCTGCAAAGGCTTTTCCATCATTCTGGAAGTATAAAGGAATTCACACTTCCAATTACACCTATTTTGAAATGACATGGTTTTATTCTCAGGCCACTTTCAAAGTAGCCCAAAGCAGAACTGAGGCAGGCCATCTTCCCACCATAGCCACCACCCCAAGACAAACCTTTCAAGTTTGTATGAGATATCAACTTGAATTAGGCAACAGTAGTAACATGTAGAGTGTAAAATATAGCCCCAGGCATCAGTACAACCAGTAAAGTGTGAAGCAATCCAAACTCTTAATGATATTTTGCAAGTCAATTGAGACTTCCCAGGGCAACACCAGCCTGCACTTCTCTTATGATCAGACTAACTTGCAGTCTCCAATATTTCAGAGAAATTAGTTCCTCTGAAATCTAAATTGAAACTAAAATCAGAGGTGTGAAATGTCTGGTGTCCAAGGATCATTTGTTTCTATGCAGTGGGATAGGAATATCAGAATATAACTAACATATACTGGAGACAGGTGGATGTTCCAGTTGGACAAAATTAACCAGAGTGTAGTATTTTTGAAGTTTGTAAAAGTCAGCACATCCTTGCCAAAAACACTAGGAACCAATTGATTTTGAGTAGATACATTATTTCAAACCCCGTGAAAGCAGGTTTGAGCCAGGATTTGGATAAAGGTTTGAACTAGTTTTAAGAAAATATGGTGGGGGTAATGATGAGCCTGAAAAAACCTACAGGAAATCTCAGTTGTGATTCATGTGCTATAATGTAGGTGTTTTGGTAATGAAAATTCAGATCTTTCAGTCTCACTGCAACAGTTCTGGGGCAATTTGAGGGTTGAAGCTTGAGACCTTATACTTGGTTATTACAACAATACCATATGATATTTACAGCATTTGTCATTTTCAAGGTATTTTACAAACAACAGCTAATTAAATTCATACTTTTTTAGAATGCATAAATAGGTATATACACAGGAATATCACAGGGAGAAATGTAATGTAACTTATCCATGTCTAGCAAGAGGCAACATTATAACTGGGATTTCCACTCCAACATTACTGATATTCTTGTTTCCACTAAAAGAGTGGAAAGATGGTGTTTTGTGCAACAGTAGCCTTCATATATATATA